GGAGCAGCACAAATACACTTTGCGAAGGCACCAGACAGATGGATACTCTTACGGGAGTGGAGCAAGGAGTTGGCTGTAGTTTTGATCAAGAGAGTTCCCAGAGACGAGACGCTGGCATCTTCTGGATTGCCCCTCATATTTTTGTACCAAGAATATGTTATTGGCAATATGCACTTCTTTCATCATAGTTCCTTTCTTGTGCCCCCTTCGATTGCTGGCTATTCCCTTAGCAATTTCCGATAATACCCACCTGTTTTCGTAGGGTATCCTTCAGCAAAGGCATCTCCCCGAAACAACAGCAGAAACAACATCGGCGAGAACAGCCAGCAAACAGCAAACAAGAGACGCAGACGGGAGACGAACCTTTGGAGGCTGAGCTGCAGGAATTACGCAAATCTCGTTTGTTGAATGTGTTTTTCAGTTAGGTGGAAGATGCGCCAATATGGGGATGAGCCCCAGAGGCGCGTACGGGGGGACGAAGGAGGCTAAAGGAGCGACGGCATGGACATAAATCTGCTTTAGCATTTGGATTCTCTGACTGGGTTTTGTGCATAACGACGACGACGACGACAACACGATGTTGGCTCTGCTCTGCCATTGCTTTTCTTTCATTTTGTCGCCGTTTTGTCTGTGACATTGACTGCCTCTCTCTCTCTCTCTCTGGGACTTTCTTTCTCTCCTTCTCTCCGTATATTTCTCTCTTTTTCTATGTTTATCTCTATCCTTCTCCGTGTATGTTTCTCTCTTGTTTTAGATTTGTTTGTGCTGCTGTTTTTAATGCTTTTTTTTGCTCTGAGCTTAAGACTCATAATGCCGTTATAAACACAAACGAATGCAGCTCTGTTTTTCCTTTTTTTTTTGTATCTGTGTATGTGTTGGTTGTATCTGTGTGTTTGTCAGAGGTCAGCGCACGTTTAAGCCAAGCATCGCAATTATACGCACAATGCAATTGGGAGAAGAGAGCCTCAGACGAGAGGAGTTGCAGCCAGGACACAGACACTCGTACATACATATATATATATGTATATGGTAGATGGAACCATCTTTGGGGAGAGCCAGATGCTGAGTAGCATCACCATCTGACCTGACCCTCATGGCAGCAGCGGCTTTTCCCTTTTCGCTGAGCTTTTCCCCGCTGTAAATTGCAACAAATAAGCTGACATAATGCCAAAAGAAGAAGGGCAAAAGTGTAACCCTTTGAGAACATAAACTAAGTGTTAATTATATTAAAGTCTGGGGGCAACATGCAGCAGATTTCAGCGAACACACACACACACACACACACGCAAGAGGCAAGAATTGGGTTAGTCACGTAGTTGAAGTTTTGGCAAGACGTTGATTACGTTTTAGCAGGGATTTTCCCCGCACAGAAAAAGTGTCGTCGCCCCAAAAGGATGGCAGTGCTACTTGGGGGGATGGAACGGAAAGGAATGGAATGCTGGTGGCCAGACATGTGTGCTATATTTTCCGGTTTACCACTTGGCGTTCCTCTAATTAAGTTGCATGGCGAAAAACTTCTTCTATCCCTGCCGACGCCTGCCAACAGCTGACAGGAATGGTGTGGAGGCGCTTCTGGTTAGGGAAAAATGTAAGCTCATTAAGTGTACTTGGCCAGGATTCGATGTCCTTTAGGCAGCCACACAGCCAGCCAGCCAGCAAGCACTCCTTCGAACATCAAAGTAAGCATAATTTGATTAAGACATTTTAGCCAAAGACCTAATCATCATTAGCATCAACATAATCATCGTTGGGCCACATCCGACCCCAGGGTTGCCCGCTCCTCAATTTTCGCTGCTGTCAGCATCAGCTTCGAGCTTCGAGCTTCCAGCTATCCGCATCCGCATCCGCATCCACATCATCCTTTGATGCCCCAGACATCATCTACTACGTCATTGGTTCGTTCGCTTCACTCTGGCTCAAGCGAAATCTAATTTATTGAACTCTGTCGGGGAGTGAGGGAGATAGAGTCAGGGAGTGGTTGAAGGAAAAAAACCTTTTGGGACTTAAACACTTTTGTTTGCACAAGTTTTTCCGGGTTTTTCCCTGCCCCGCCCGCTAGCTCTGTCTCGTTTTCGCTCTGTGATTAATTGCCGGCCATTGCGGTCCCTTACATGTTTTAACGTTGATTTTCAGCCATAACGTTGGAGAAAGGCTTTCGGGCCTTCGACATGCATGAGGCGTAGTTCATTAGGGTGGAAACTTGTTATGTAGGGGTGGTCTGTCCGTCGGTCCCTCTCTATTAGTTTGAGTTTCGATGAAGGGGAGCGACGTGTCTATTCCAATCTATGAAGATCGATGGTGGAAGCTCCTTTCGGAGGGAAAAACTCTCTTCCGCACATGTTTAAGGGATATTATATTACTCTGCCACTCACCTTCATCAAGTATTCCATTTACGGGGCACATACATTATTAGCCTCAAACTCCGCCTCCGCATACTTCGCTCCTCCTCCGCTCTCTTCGTCCTGTCAGAGCTTTGACTAAGTAAACGGCAGACCGACATTATGATGAACGCTCACGGTTCTTATGCATTTTTAAAATGCACTTTTCTGCTTGTGTCTTATGGTAAAAGCATTCACAACAACTGCAACAACAGCAACATATAAAACAACACCAAAAACAAACAAAAGATACAACAGAACACAGAGCACAGAACTGGTGACAACAATAAGGACATGGACAGGGGCATGGACATGCTCTTGTGTAGGAAATTTTACGGACCATTGTATTAATGTCCTTGGCCCACGTTCACGTATTTGTAATGCAATTTAAGGCAGCAGGATGGCAGGACAGCAGCAGAATGGCTATGGACTGCAGGACATAGAATGGTCCTGGTGTACACCCATAGACTGCATGGGAGGGAGAGGGACAGGGACAGGCACAGGCACAGGGACTGCATTGAATAGCAGTGCAGCAGACTGCTCAGGAACTGCAAAAGCACGTTCACTTAGTCTCTGCTGTCACTGTCACTGTGTCACTCCCCTCCCCCCCTCTGCCCCTTTTGCCCCTTGCACTCCACTCTCGTCTCGACTGTCATCTAATGCAGTCAACTCAAACTCAAATGCAATTAGTTTTTCCACACACACCCGCATACAAAAATGTCCCTGGAGAGAGCCCCATCAGCATATGCAAAAATCAACTCGTTTTGACCTTTCGAAAGTGTGAGCGAACTTTTGTGAGAACGTGTTGTCATATAGAGATTATCGCCCTCGCCATCGCCTTCGTCTTGAACTCAATTCTCTGGCAGTTTTAATTCCCAAAAGGCAGCTTAAACATCTCGATGCCAGTCCTTTTATGTTTCGTGTTGGGTCAGCAGAAAATGCTTAACATAAATTCAAAACGGAGCTCGGCTCGGTTCTGGCCGAATCCCAGTTTGTTCACACTTGCCAGCCATTAAGTTTATGACGCAACAGCAGTAAAACGGTAGAGGGACTGGGACTGGGACTGGGACTGGAATGCATGCAAAGGGATGCGATGCCCTGCCCATCGTCGTCGTCGTCGTCGTCGTGTGTGCAGGATGTGGCCCCCAAAGGGATCTTTTGACCAGGCAAAAATACCATAAATAAAACATGGCAACGGGTCGAACGGAAAAGCAACAGCAACAGCAATGCCAATGGCAACGGCAACGCCAGCAACAAAAGGCAAAAGTCAGTGTCTGTTGGTCAGTGCCAAAAAAAGAGAGGGAAACCACAACAAAAAACAATGAAGGAATGATGGATATGGTTGTCGAATTATTTGATACCCTGGGTGAATGGATAAAGAAACAAATTTGCTTGTGCTTCGATGGATTTTTACTATGGCAGCTATATGGTATAGTACTCTGATCTTATTTGAACTCAGGAGAGAACTTATGGTGAACCGGGAGACAGATCCACCTACATATATATTGCTTTCCCTTTGAGTACATCCCAGAAAAACCGCACAAAAACTCGCTCTTTACTGCTAAGCTACTCTGGGAGAGACTCCCCCAGGGTGTGTCATACACCTACACGAATTGATTATACTCTTTGAGGATACTTTCTGAGTAATGGGTGTAAAAACAGCCACCAAAAGAGAGAGAATCCAACATGTTGAAGCGCCAGCTGCTCCACATGAGACACGTGGCAGACAATGAAGGAGCTTCCCCACCGGCGGACTCGACCCACTCGGGCAGGGGTGTGTCAGGAGCCTTTGCGGTTAACAATAGTACGCCCCTGGCCATAGACCATAGTTTGGGCGCTTTTTTGCGGTCCTGCAGCTGCGGCAACCTTTTTTTTGGGTAGCCTGAGCCGAGCCGAGCAGAAGGAGTTGGGCAGTCGTCTCCCCAGAGAATCAACTCAATTTATTATTGCCACTAGACAGAGAGAAAGAGGGAGATGGGGAAAACAGGGAATTGGCATTTTAAAGCTTTAACAAATTAAATTAAACCAACAGAAAATTGTTGATTGCCCGACTTTGTCCACACTTCGATTTGCCATAAATTGTTTGGCTTTTGCTTTTTGGAGGGAACATTTTCTTATTTGCTTTGGCGACGGCCGCTTTTGGTCCTCGTTTTATTTTGTGCTTTGCTGTTTTTCTTTTTTATTATATTTTTCCATTTTATTTTATCAGCAAACAGCGACGGCAAAAGAAAAGTGCAAAGGCAACAGAAAGAGAAACAAGCGGCAGGGCAGCACCGAAAAAAAGGCAGCAATTTTCCAATTGAATAATTGTCACTCGGGAAGTTTTCACTTTTGTCGGCAGAGGCAGACGGCAGAGGCAGAGAGTTAGCCAACCGGAGAACGAGGGCACAGGACGAGAACCAAGGACCGAGGACCATGGCTGTGGCCATTCAATGGCTCAACAGTTTGCCAGTGTCTCCACAGTGTTTGCCTTTTGCCCAGTCTTTGCCCAGTCTTTGCCCAGTCTGTGCTTTCCTTGCTCTCAGACCCAACTCATCCCAGTCAGCATCCACTTCCCTCCCTTTGGTTTCTCCCTTAGCCATACTCCTGTGTTTTAACAGCAATTTTCTTGTCTATTTTCAGGATGATTTGCCGGGCCAGGCTCTGCTGGATGTCGTCTTTGCCAGGCTCAATTTAATCGAGACCTCATACTTCGGCATACGTTATATCGACGAGGAGAATCAAACGGTAAGGCAGGCAGACAGGCAGGCAGTGTTGTCCAGGACTCCTGCTTCTACTTCCGCTGTGCAAGCATATTGGTTTTTGAAATTCATTTTCATTTTCATTTTCATTGAAATTCATTCAGGCGCAACGAGCGCTAAAGAAATGAGAACAAAAAGCCGTGCCCCAGGCGGGAGTCGCAACTCTTTGAGTCTCTCTCTGCATCGCTGTGTGGGGTGGTAGCGAATTATATAATTTCGCTTTCAAGCACCTGTCGGTTGTCCTTCAGACACACACAGTTTTGTGCGTGGTTTTGTGTGATTCGACCTCCCTAACTTCTGTTATTCCTGTGCTTAATTTTCCCGCAGCACTGGCTGGACCCTGCCTCACGCATCTCCCGTCAACTGAAACCCAAATCGGATCCATACGACTTGTATTTCGGTGTGAAGTTCTATGCTGCCGATCCGTGCAAGCTCCTGGAGGAAATCACCAGGTGAGTGAGCCTCAATTAAATTAATTATTTAAACCATTTAATGTGGCGCAACTTTTGGTCTGGCGTGGCCTGGGATATTCATCAAATTGAATTTGAGGAAATTTAATTTGTTAACAGACGCATAATTATAATGCAATTAACAATAAATGAAGCAAATGGACGAGTGAGACGCAGTTAAGGAGAGAGCCATGGCCACGACTAACTAATGGATAATGCATGATGAAATTAATGCATTTATGCACACACACACACACACACACACATTGAGCGAAATAAATTAAAATAACGCAATAGTCAATTGAAAAAGAGAGGCAGCCACTGGGATGCAGATGTTGCATGGATGGACCCTGGCAGTGGTTTGGTGTGCAAAATGCCAAATGTCGCAAACGCAAGCGTTTATGCTGGTCAGCCCTGTCAAGGGATATGTGGACATAGGAAAGGGCGGACAGCACACAGAATGCAGGGACAGGGACACGAACATAGTCATGGCTTTCATCATCGTTCGATGGCGCGATGCGATGATGGTGTCTGGGGGCGATTGCTGCATTTATCAAGCATTTGGTGTGTGCAAATATTTGCACTTTATACGACGACACGTTCCCCATAATCATCATCAGAGACAGCAGCAGCGGCGGTGGCGGCAGTGGCGGCGGCGGCGGCAGAGTGGCGAGTGGATTGTCGAGGATGGAAGGATGGAGCGGAGCCCACCATTTGGCCAAACATCATCAAAATCTATGCCCTGATGCTGATGCTGATGCTGCTGCTGCGCTAATATTAGCGCATATAAATGCATCGAAATGCACTTGTAGCCAAGTGGAAAGCTGTATGGGAAAGTAGGGTTCACGGCTCCATGGGTTTATGGGTTCATGTGGCAAATGCAATTGCCACTGAATGCATTATGGCAGAAGTGCACTACGGACTGGGACTACGGCCCAAAGAATTTTGTTATGTTAGCTATACAAAGTCTGCGGCAATACAATAAACGGCAATTGACTTTCGACAGCGACAAAGTTGAAAATTCCAATGGATAAATAGAGGGATATTAGTCCTCCCCTATCAGAGAGTCAAACAAGGACAGCAGCCGGCTAGACCGAAAAGGATTAAGGCAAACATCAACTTGAAACTCAGGCCTTGGCAAATAATTGTGAAATATGATACACAGCACACCCTGCCCTGCCCATCCCTTTGCAACATTTCTGTATCCTGTTGTGGTTCTTGTTTTTGTGACTAGTTCCGTCTGTTGTTTATTTGCTTCATGATTTTGATGTTACGCCCAAAAAGTCAACAAGTTTTCCGGTTGTGTTTGCCTTGGACAAACATCGATGGAATAGGGTGGCAGCGGGGGGATTATCAACAAATTTTATGCCCAAGGATTTGTTTGTCAGCTTGTTAACTTGTTCCTTCATCCTTTGACTAATGAAATTTGTCAATTTTCAGATACCAACTTTTTCTGCAAGTCAAACAGGATGTACTTCAGGGACGACTGCCAGTGGCCTTTGAACTGGCCGCCGAGCTGGGTGCCTTTGTGGTCCAATGTAAGTGGGAAAGACACACTCGTTTGTCAGAAGAGGAGCATCTTTGATATATTATAAATCATTCACAGCCGAGCTGGGAGACTACGATCAGCGACGCCACTCCAAGGGCTACGTCTCCGAGTTCCGGCTGCTGCCCAACCAAAGCAACGAGCTGGAGACGCGAGTCTCGGAGCTGCACCAGCAGCTCAAGGGCATGTCCCCATCCAGTGCCGAGCTGAACTATCTGGACAAAGTCAAATGGCATGATATGTACGGCGTGGATTTGCATCCCGTTTTGGTAAGTTATAGACACTGCTGCCCCACATGACCCCAAAACCACAGCTGGTTTCGGGTGGAAAAGGGGTCAGCAGGGAAATGCAAAGTTTAATTTCATTTCATGGCAAATATTATAAATCATTTGCTCACATTTCTGGACCCCAAAACGTGGGGAGAGGGCAATGATTACCCCAAAAAACCCCCCGATTTTGGGGTGTGTGTGTGTGTGTGTCTCAGACGAGACTCTAACCCCCTGCCCGATCCCCTGGTTTTGTGCTGCGTAAGTTGGCACTTCATTTGCATTTTTTATTGCCCTTTACTTTGGTATCAAACCTCAATAAATCACCAGCTGTGTTTGTCTGGGGGGGCATGTGGCATGAACCCTTGTACTCCACATGGTTGTGGTATGTGCCCTACCTCCCGCCCCACCTTCCACCTTATCTCTATCGTTGCCCTTGTGTTTTTTTATAGACACAAATCATTGACTATAGCGGCGCCAGGCAGCCGTCTTTCATTTGGATTTTCCTTACCATTCCTCCCAACCCCTTCCCATGCCCTTTCCTTCTTTTCCTTTCCTTCTTTTTTAATTTAATTAACAGCTAAAATTACATTTATTTCGGTTATTCTTACGGGGAGGTTCGGCGTTCGGTGCTCGACGTATCCATAAAAATGCCGCCTGCTACTAATGGGCGCAAAACTTTCCTCTTGTTAACACATTTTTTGGCAATGGCCAGAAAGAAACTTTTGCGCCTGCCTTTTGTTTGCCAAAGTTTCGCTCTCACTAAAGTTCTCGATTCTCTTTCTCTTTGCTCCCACAGGGCGAGGACAGCGTGGAGTACTTCCTGGGGCTCACGCCGAGCGGGATTGTCGTGCTGCGCAACAAGACGACGGTGGCTCATTACTATTGGCCGCGCATTGCCAAAGTTTATTATAAAGGACGCTATTTTATGCTCAGGATAAGCGATAAAAATGTAAATTTTTCACGCACCCGAACGCGACAATGGAGACGAAGGCCATGGGCGCGAATGGGAAAGCCGGACTGGGGGGTAGGGCGACAATGGCCACAATTGACGATGCAGATCCCCCCATCTTGGTCATAAATTTGTTGGCCGACAAGTGCTTCATACAGTTTGCAGTTCGTATAAAGAGTGGAATGGAAAAAGGGTAGTGCTCGAATGGCAGTTATCCTTGGGTTCAACGAGGGATTAGATGGGATAGGATTTATCTGGGAACACTAAAGCTTCAAAGATGCATTAGCAGCGTTTACCAAACCCTATGGATATGTTATAGAATTATCATAAATATCTGTCAAGTGATCAATCAATCATTTCCTTATAGAATTGCCCATTAATCAGCATTCAAGCGATCGCTATAGGGTATCCCAGCTTCTCCATCACATCTCGCAGCTGTTTTCAATTTCTTATTTCCCATTTTGCAGTGTCGCCAATTTCTTTGTGTCCACGTTCCTGCCTTTTGGGCGACAACTTTTTGGCTGTCAGCGGCATCAAGTGGCGCCAGGAGCGGAGTAAAGTGCTAGAAGACTCGTTAGCCAACAAGTAGCTGCTTGGTGCTCTGGCAGCGGCGATAGAAGATAGAAGACACCGAATGGGGCAGCTTCTGAAACTTGTACACTTTCGGGTGTTAACGCTTTGATAATCAAAAAACTTTTTGCAGCCAGTTGACGCGCACAAAAGGCGAAACTTTAACGTTTTTCTTTTTCGACTTGATTTTTGTTGGACGGGTTTTTTTTTGGGGGGGAGAATTCACACTTTACATTCTGCAAAGGGGAAGAACCATTGAGTGGTAGGAACGAGTGGAAGCAACTTTTGCTGAGGCATTCATTCACTCAATTTGCCTTTTGCCTTCACTTGGCAACCGACTCGACTCGACTCTTTGGACTCTTTTGTCGGCATCGTCGCTCCCATCGCACCCATGGCCCATCGTCGTGACTTGACTTTTCCGCTTATCACACACTGCATTTCCCGCATCCTCCTCCTCCCTCTGCTCCTCCTCCACAGAATGAGCTCAGCACTTACGGCTTCGAGACGCCTCGCAAATCGGCGTGCAAACACTTGTGGAGATGCTGCGTGGAACACCATGCGTTCTTCAGGCAGGTGCGCGTCGCCCCGCTGCCCAGCTCCCAGTCGCATGCAACCGATTTGTTCCAACTGGGATCGCGCTTCAGGCACAGGTGAGTACCGTACCGCACCGTACCTTCACAGGCACAGCACACAGCGCACAGAGTTCCTTCTGATGATATATATGCCGGAAGTATTGCGGCCCGACAAGTGGGTGCAGTCATGTGCTCCGCCCTCGTCATGGCATGGCCATTAGATAAAGTTGTTAAATCCAAAGAAACCATAACCATGTCAGCTCCGAGCTGGACTCTGGCGGTGGTACGAGTATGCTGCCTAATTTATTGGCCGAAACCCAAAAGCGCAGCCAATTAAGACGTAACAAATTCCAATGGACCAAACACTCGACTAGCCTCGAGTGCATCTCATGTGATTAGCTCATTAAGAGGCAGAGCTCAAGTGGATTTCGTGGCAGCTGCATACTCGTACAGATGACCTGCCGCATGGACGGGGCACTGGTTCTCAAGAGGATCAAAAGATGGGGCTATCGAAAGGGGGGCTTCTGCTGATACTTATTAGTGTAATGAAAGCAGGCTTAGGCTTAGGTTAAAGGGTATAGAAATGTAGTCTGAGTGACTTTTCCGACTGATGTAGGAGAATAATATGCCTATGAAATGCCGTCTGATATTCCGTTTGCTGAAATCTTTTGCCTTAATTGGACATTCCCTTTCCAACGACCAGCTCCAGGGTATAACCACTTGGTCGATTGTTACTCCCAGGTTACTTTCAGTTTTCCTTTGAAAGAGAGAAAATGAAGCAAGTTCGCATGTGTTGGGCTCCTCGAATTTCATGCAGCTCCAATTAGAAATCATCTCTGCCCCAAACAGAAGCAGGGTAGGCAGGAGTGGAGGCCAGCATACATAGATCAACTTTACGCCATCGCTGGATGGTCAACTAATTGGAAGTCCAATAAAAATGTCGGATCTAGGAGGCCTTGCAAGGCGCAAGGTACGGGGCAAGGGCCAGCAGGCATTCGGCCGAAAAGCAACTCGAGTGCAAAGCCCACTAATGACTTTCTGTGAAATGCGGCTCTAAACCACGGCAGGAAAGGACAGCACAGGAGGGCACAGGGGCTGGCCAAATGCAAGGCAAATTGTGCATGACGAATGTGGCAGGGGATTGGGCTTCGAATGGGGGTCTGGGCCTGGAACTGGAACTGGAGCTGGAGGCAAGTAAGTCCTGGCTTCATGTTTATGACAGACATTTGCGGTGACTGCGGCTGACCATTTAGTTGCTGCGCTAAACTTTCTTGCCCCCAAATCGAGTTCACGTGGCCACGAAACTATTAACTTGGCCAACAGCAGAGAGAGTATGTGGTGTGGTGTAGTATAAGTGTATCGTAGGGAAAGTTCTAGCCAAAAAAAATAGACGAAAATTTCTGGTTCTGGCTCGGACTCCCATTTTACGACGGAGGGAGAACCAAGGAAGGGCCTTGGCGTTTTTAATTTGTGAAACAAATGAAAGTTTTTCTTCGTTTTTATTCTTTTGGCTGCTTCTGGTTTACAACCTTTTTATGGTTCACTGTTCATTATTAGCCGGGACCATCAAGAGCAAGTCTTCCCTTGCGCCTGCCTTTGGCTTACGTTTTTTGGCCGTTTTTTACCATTTGTGTTGTTAATATTTTCGGACGCCTTTATGCCTACTTTTATGTTGTGCCCAACACTCAACACTCAACACTCGCCACTCGCATGTCTGCCACAACCAACCCCCCGCCAAACCCCCGAACAACACCCCGAAAACAACCCGAAAGTCGCCCGGACAAGCAAACGGAGAAGGATGCACTGGCCGCCGGACGATCCCCGCCAGCCTTCACTCGCGTGCCCTCCAAGCGCCAGCCCAGACGCGTGATTGATGACTTTTTTAACAGCCACAAAGGAGGAGGCACCAACGGAGCAGGAGGAGGAGCCGGAGGTGGAGGTGGCGGAGCTCTTCTAGGCGGAGTCGTTGGCAACGGAGGAGTCGTCAGCGGTGCAGGAGGAGGCATCAACATGGGCAACAGGCCGCTGCCACAGCCAGGTCTGGGCAACATCTCCAAGTGAGTACCCCCCGAATGTCCATCATTTGTTTTCATTCCATGCACAAAAGTTTTGATTTACCCATTGCCCGCTCCCCCCTCCCCCTCCTCTATGCACAGAGAGAGTACTCTCTCCAGTACTTGCCTTTTTAGTGTATTTTTTACCCATTTATGCAGCAGCTGCTACTCTTGCTGCTACTTCCTTTGACGTAGTTGTCCTTTTTTTGGATACGCTTTTTGTGTGTGTATTTTTTGTGGTAATAATTTTTAGAGGCTGCTCCCGCCGCCGGAAGAGCTCTCATGGGTCCTGTTCGAGAGGGCCTTTCCCTTTGATCTGTTTTTAATTTTCAAACATATTTTTGGGGGCCAACACAACTCTCCGCAGAGCAGTGTCTGGCAGCATCCAATTGCGCGGCTCACTCGATTGTCTCGCCGGGTTCAATCTGAAAGGAATGCAGCCAGAACACTTCATCATTCCCATTGCCCCCATTACAATACATTTCATGTTTGTGTTTGACAGAACCACAGGATGGGTGTGGGTGTGGGTGTGGGTATGTGTGGCTGACTCCTTGGCATTGTCCTCGTTCAAGTGCCTCCCATTGCATGTGGCGGGGCACTCGATTTTTTGTTTCGAATTTCGTGTTCAAAATCCATTTAGTTGGCATTTTGAAGGCAGTTACATTGTCTAGACGCAACATTTATTAAATGTTTTATGGTTGTGCACATCAAATTATATAGACAAATAAAAATCCCAGCCATTAGTTGAGTTTCTGGGCAACGGAAATGGTTGCCAGGATGTTGCGAACCAGCGATTAAGTGAAGCGGAAGGAGAGAGAGATAGATTGAGTCATGGCAGGAGATTTATGTGTGGTGGAAGAGCAAGGACACTACACATAGAACAGATCCTAGAACACATTTCGAATTAGACAGCAGTTTCTTCCCACTCTGTCGGCCGTCTGCTGTCTGCCGTCAGTTTGCTGTTTGCTGTCAGTGTAAGTGTTCTGCTGGTGCATAAATTACACGCTCAGGTGAGGGTCTAAATAAGGTAATAGAAGCCAATCCCAATCCCAATCCCAATCCCGATCCCGATCCGTACAAAGTGTTTCTGGCTGTGTAATCGGTGGACAGGCAGCAGCACTGGCAATTCCTAGGAAGAACTGGGATTGGGATGAGCAAATAGCTCACGTCATTTATCATTTGCAAACAAAGAGAAGCCCAAACATCAGGCAGCCGGGACAGGCCAATCAAGTTGCCTCCTGCCCAGAGAGGTCTGAGAGATCGAAACGACCAAAACGAAGCGGGAGCATAAATCACTAGGCACGCCTCGGTCTCGGTCTCGGTCTTGGCCGCAGTCTCCATCTCCATCTCCGTCTCAGAGGCACGTTCTGGATCCGAGTCCAAGTCAAATGGCGACGACTCCTGAGAGTACGAAATGATTGCCCGCTGATTGCCAGTGCGGCAATTACTCAATTTTACACACGCGCATTATTTGTCTGTGTCGATCTTGGATGTGGAGATGGAGATGGAGATGGAGTCGGAGTTGGAGTTCCACTTGGAGATGCGAGTTCGATGTTCAGGCTTTGGGTTTAAGGCGATCCTCTGCATAGCGTTGGCTCCTCCGACAGCCTAAATGGCCCCCAATGCCGCAGAGCAGACTTTAATCAACGTTTATGTTAAACAATTTAAATTTATGGCAAAATAATGCGAGACTGATCCCCCATCTCTTCTATCCGACTATCCTCCCCCTCCCCCTCCCCATCTAGCAACTATGACAGCCCCTACCGATCCACGTATAGCATTCCCACCAGCCTGGGCATCCGACCCTGCCACCAGCAGTCCCCCCAGCAGCAGCAGCAGCAACAGAACAACAATTCCAGCAGCTACAACAACAACAGCGGTGGCAACCTCCAGACACCTGACTCGCCGCGAAGCACGCGCAGTGCCCCATGGCCCAGGTCGCAGCAAAGATCGCTCTTCGGCCACAATCCCTCGAGTCCGCGGTCCGTGAGATCGGCCAGCACGGCGCATCATCACCACCATCATGGGCACCACAGCCATGGCCATGGCACCAGCCACCATCCCCACCAGCAGTCGTCCTCGTCGTCGCACCACCAGCGACAGCAGCGGGCCAGCTCCTCATCCGCCTCGCATCAGCAGCAGCGCTACAGGTCCAGCTCTGTGGAGAGTCACTCCTCGAATGATTCCAGATCCACAAGAAGGTAAGTCTCCAGAGGAGATCCTCGCAGTAAAGTCTCTGAGGAACCACGCTTCCCTTTCCAGACACAAGCATCGCCATCGTCGCACCTCCGACAATGAGAGTGAACTCTCGCGAGGCTCAGGTCGTTCGGGGCGATCGGGTCGCTCGCATCATCGCAAGCACCGCCGCTCGCATAGGCATCGGCGGGACTCGGCCGGCGGGTCCGATCATGACAGCACCCGGGGACGCAGTTACTCCGGACATCGCAGCTCCTCGATGAGGAGTGGAAGTGCCGAGCTTATCGACTCCACGACGCAGTGGCGAGAGGTGCAACGACGACAGGCGGAGGCCAGCCTTGGCCAGAGCTCCGTCCAGCAGGCGGCAGTCTCCAAGAGCAGCATGGTGGCCCGCAGTCTGCACAGCAACGACAGCCACTCGGACACGCACTCGCACCACAAATCAAGGAGGCATCGCAAGAACAAGTGAGTGGAAAGATACTCCCTTCCCCTAGACGATCCCCAATCCTCGATCCTCCTTTCCATAGATCTCCTTCGGAGTCGCGCAGTCGCATGTGGAACAGCGAGCTGGCCAAGCATCTGCAGTTCGATCTGGTGGACACCGAGGGCATGTCGGAGCAGCAGCTACGGGAGATCCCCTACACAGTGGTGGAGACCACCTCAAAGCGATCCAACTCCAATCTGAAGATCCACAAGAGCAACAGCAAGAGCAGCGTGGGGGCCAAGAGCACGGGCTCCGGCAACACCATAACCAATGGCAGTGGCTCCGCCAGTGCCGGACAGGCGAGGATTCGCGTAGATCGCATCAGAGGGTGAGTAGAAAAAGGATCCGGTAGCTATAGCGGCTGGATCTTATAGTTGAGCCGCCTTTCAGGCTCTATTACCAAAGTTCGCATCCGCATGAGGGTAACGGCGGTGGCGCCGGCGCGGGAGGAAATGCTCCCAAGAACGGATCCATACGATCGGCCAGCACGATATCATCTCGAGAATGTGAACGCAACAATGGACTGGTTAGGTAAGTGTTTACCAGGGGGTGTCCTTCTGAGGATTCGGATTAAGAGTCTTACTTTCTTTATAGAATGATGTCTAGCATGAGCATGGGTGACTTCATCTCGCCCACTGGTTCGAATCTGAGTCCATTGGAGAACTCCGCTCTGCGTGTCTCACATGAGCACACGGATTCGGGTCTAGGTGCCGATCAGGATTATGCCTACTCTTCAGAAAGGTAAGTGTGGAACTGTTGATTGCAAAGAATCGATATTTATCGATATTTTATGCGATAAACGTATAAATTCACTTATATTTGATTTCAATAGTTAATTGATAGCGTATTCCACATTTCGTGTATCGATTTTTTATCGATATCAGACATTTCAGTTCGATACATCCCTAATCCTTCTCTTTTCCCTCTGTATCCATCCCACCATTCTTAGGTCCAGTGACAGCACACGCTATGGCACCAACAAATCATCGGGCGCCTCGAGCGGATCCCATCGAAAGTCGGGCGGCAGCGCCGGAGGCGGCACGAATGGCGGCTACAACAGCCTCATGCAACAGACTGTGAGTAATCAACAGCAGCAGCAGCGCTCGCTGTTCGCCCAACAGCAGCGGCAACAGCAGCAGCAGCAACAGCAGAAGACCAATTACAAATACGCCTCCTCCTCATCGACCACTAATCCCACAAGCGGCGGTGCGGGCGGCCTGGCGCCGGTCCACAGTGCATCCTCTTCCTCGGGCCATGGTCACACGACTCCCAATACCAATCCCAATTCCAATTCCAACCCCAATCCACAAACAAACGCAACTAACCCGATGCAGTCGCCGGCGGCTGGCCACGCCAATCGCCTGCTCCACTACACGACCTTTGAGAACAACCAGTACAAGTTCAGCCTGAACAATGCCCTGGCCAGGGGCTCGGGAATGGGATCGGGATCGATGGCAGGTGCCTGCGTGGCCACCGGCGGCGGCAGCAGCAGCAATCTCATGGTATCAACTGGTGGCGGAGGTGCTGGTGGGGGTGGTGGTGCTTTCAGCAGGCAACGCAGCTTCGTGGAATGGCCCAGCAATCCGGCGGCCCCGTACTACTATCAGGGACCCTCGACGAGTGCGGCGCAGGTGAAGAGGCGCGACGCCAAGTCGGACATTGGGGTCCCCACGCGACGTCTCTCCGGCCAGAGCATAACCAAGACCCAGCTCCTGACGGGCGGGGGAGGCGGTGGCCAACTGGCCAATGCCAGCTGCTATCCGCTGCACTACGCCAGCAGCAGCGTCACCAGCTCGGGGCATAGCCGTCCCCCGGGTCAGCGCTCTGGGCAGGCCACAGCATCGGGCCGCTATGGGATGCAGCCGGCCAAGTCGGATCTCTTCTTGTCCTACATCCATGGGGCTGAGTACGAGCGGCCCTACATCTACAACTATAAGATGCCGCAAATGCCAGCCGGGTCGGGGCCGGGTGCTGGCTCTGGAGCTGCGGCTGGTGCTGGTGGCGTTCCTGGGGGATCGCCCAAGCAGCAGCCCACCGCATATCACATCTCTGGCTCCCAGACAGCCGATCCGCCGCCACCGCCACCGCCTCTGTACGGCGGTTCGGCGCCCGCCAACGATGTCATGTACTATCAGTTTGACAAAGGAGCCGCTCCGTCAACGTCAACGCCGCCCATTGTACAGCAGCCGCAGTCAATGCAGTCGATGCAGTCGATGCAATCGATGGCATCGAGGCAGCCATCGTCTTCGTCGTCGTCGGTGGCTGCCGGTCCATTAGTCTATCTGCAACATGGACAGAATGTTGCCCCATCGAATGTCACCTCCACGCAGCAAACTGTGAGTAAGATTTGAGGTCCGTCGCATGTTGCGTGTAAGCCGTAAACCTGTCGCATGCTGTTCTCGTTCTCGTTCGCGATGTTGTTGTCTTTGTCGTTGTCTCTTCTTCCTCATATTGTTGTCTTGTCTTGTCTTGTGTTGTGTTGTGTCCCTAGAACTTGTGTTGTTTTTTTCCCCTTTGTTGCATGTTCTGTTGTTCCAACTTTTTAAGTATTTCCTTTCTTTCGAGTTGAAGTTTGTGTTTCGCCGCGTCTCCCTTTAATTGAATCCCGTATTTTATTGGCATTATCGCATTCGAGAAGAGCACTTAGTTCACTTGAAGCGTACATAGTAGCTACCATAAGTATCTCTACACATAAGTACTCCCTCCCATACTCGTATATTCGTATATAAAGTTAGTTTTAAGAGTCGTCTCTTGACTGCATGACGTATACTTAATTTTCTAGCACAAAATTGTATTTTCTGTGATTTTTTTTCGGGTTTCTATTTCTATAACGAAGCTCAGCTCGTACGAGTATATGCGCCTTTGTGCAAGTGTAATAAGTAACTGAAGCTTTTATGTTGATTATTTTGTAAGACTCATTGTAAACATTTGGGGAGAGAGAGAGAGAGAGAGATCCGGCAGCCCCAGCCCCTTGTGTGTCTGTGTCCCCATTCTACAAGCGCACTTATCTCTTATACACTCCCTCATGAGTGCCCTCTAACCCCACGCGCTCTCTGTGTGAGTTTGTGTTATCAAAAAGCGAGTCTATGTATGGATATAAACTCACTCTCACACTCCCCGCACTCGTTTTGGTATCTGAATTGCGGGATAGACTGAAATTTAATTAACTGAAATTTAAGGCGTGAGAAAGATAGTCCGTACTCCAGGGAGTCCTGGCGGAACCTTTGACTAGACGGCCCACGAATGCCAATGGAATAGTTTTGTACAAACTTTAAGGAAACCAGCAGCAGCCATAAACATGCCCCAATCAGATCTTTGAGCCGAAAAACTTTGCCTCCACTCAAAAGTATGCTATGGCCAAAACTTTGCCCAATTTCACGCATGCCTAATTAACAACTGAAATATTCCAACTAATTTTTGTTTAGCGCACAAATAAATTACCCAAAAGTAAAAGACCCATAAAGACCCCCCACAGAGTCCAGAGTCCAGAGAGTCAAGACAAAAGGCTGAAGCCTTGGCAGTGCGGGAGGAAGGAATGGCAATAAAAGGGAATAAATAATAAGCAACTATTTGCGCTACATTATCCGAGTTTATATAACAGACAAGATTTTCATCTGCATGGGGCGGGGCGGTGGGGCGGTAACTTTTGGGCAAATAATTTCAACTAAAGCTGATGGCACAAATTTTGTAGCTGCCAGAGCAAAAATACTTACAATTCTAAAATAAATTCTGGCCCAGCTTCCAGCAGAGGCAGCCGCTCCTTGGATCTCACGACCCACTCTCATATATAGAAATAAGTGTGTGTGTGTGCGTAAGGGGATATAGCCATATGTGTCTATGTCTGTGTGTGTGTCACAAATGGCCAACAACAACAGCCAACAGCCACCGAGTACATAGAAACATTTTCGAAATGTTTGGCATAATTTTGCTATAAAATAAATTTTGCAAAATTGTTTTTCCTAAGCTGGGAAGCAGCTTAGTGAAGAGGAGACCCAGACCGAGACAGAGACGGAGACAGAGACCCAGAACTGGAACTGAAACTGAAACTCAGAGAAGCAAGCAGCGCCTGGCAACGCCTGGCAAAGGCAACGACATCAGCAAGGACATCAAATAAAACAAGCAAATCAAAAATTATGACAGCACAGCAAGGGGCAAGGCACAAGCCAAACATGAGCACAAGTACACGGGGATACGGGAGGATGGAAGGATGGGAGATTAGAGGAGGCAGGACACATGGACAGCATCTTGGCCAGGCCAACAAAGTGGCAAAGTGCGCAGCCAGCGGCCAAGAGACAAACGCCAATGCTGACAACCCTCAAACGATGTCCCTTCGACGATGGGTGGAGAATGTTGTGGGTGGCTTGTGGGTGCCCTCGGGTTGAGGGCGTGGCATGTCCTCGGCTCGCCCCCCGAAAAGCAGTTAAGTCAATAAATTTACTGATTTAATGTGGCAAAAGTTTCGATTGTTGTTGTCTCTGCCATTTGCTCTGGTGTTGTTTCAAGGGTTACAGGAAAAGGATGTCACCCTCCAATGAGGGTTTCGTCCTGTGTAAAACGCCTGCAGTTGTTATTATACCCATTGTTCTGACCCATGTTCTTGGTCCTGCCGCCTTCGGGCCACACCACACGCACATCCATGCGGAGCGAGCCAAATACCTAACAAATGTTAGATTAACACAATTGCCAAACAATAAAAGCAGCAAAGTTGGGCAAAGCTTTGGCTTAAAGCGATTTGGCCAGGAAATTGCTTGCCAGGAGTAGATCTTAAAGATGGGAAGCGGAAATGGAAATGGAACGTCTGAGATGCAATTCGTATTTCTTCGATTAAACAAATTCAAATTAGTAGAGGAGAAAATTATTCATGTGCATAACTACTCCATCAAAGATTTATTTACAAAAGAAAAAGGACGCAGACAACTTTAATGCCCTATAATTTAAAGCTTAAATTCGGAAAAAATTATTCAATATATTCCGATTTCGATTCCAATTCCGATTCAATAAACGTTATTACAACTTCTGCAGAAATCCATTAAATATTAAACCATTAGACAACAATGTAACGTTGAAACAATAACGGAGCCGGCTTTTCACACAGCTTCGGGCAAAAACCGGGCTTACAACAAATAATTATAAAAAAATATTTGTGATTGCCAATTGATTTATTGGCAGAAAACATTTTGTTCCCTGACAAATAGTGCGGAAAATGTAGAAAAACTTCAAACAAAGGCGAAAACTTTGAACAAATAATATTTTTATTTTCACGGAATCCGGCGATGATTTAATTATGCAGGATGCAGAATGTAGACGGACGGATTGAATGGAAAACACTCGACCGTATTTTTTTGTTTTTATGCTGGCTCTAAGCGCTCTTTTGTATGCTTTCGCCTACGGGCGGCATATGTCATCGCATTCCTGCTATATTTTTATGCATTTTCCACATTTTTTTCCCAAACACAAATATTTCAAATGTTTTATGCATGGCCGGGAAAAAGGATTGAAGCTCCCGGGGCGCTGGAAAAAAAACAAGAGAACTAAGCAGATGCGACCAAAAGGTTGCTAGTTAATAATTATCTTTGACGGTGACAGTTGCTAGACGAGGTCGGACGAGCCCTGACATTGGATGCCATAAACGGAGTAGCCTTGTCCTCCCCGTTAGCTGCCGCGTGTTAATGAAGGGGGCGTTTGACACTCGCCAACATTTATGCCACACAATTTGATGCATTAGCGTGTCTATACTCGTGCGTCTGTCTGGGTGGGTGGCACGCCAAGGGCGTGTTTAACATGGGACCCTGCCCAATTAACACACACATGCCCCATCGTGCTCGTGCCCCATCCACATACACACCCATAAACGGGGGCGAAGAAAATTAATTAAATTCCTTTGGTTTGGGCCTTGGCCAATGCTGCCTTCTCGTCAAGTTTGTTTAAGCAATCTTGTACGTGTTTCCATTAGGCTACAATTCAAAGTTCATTATTGAATGGAAATGGGCGTGCCACAGCCCACCCTGGCATGGGGCATGGGGCATAATAGATAAGTTTCCCTGTTTCCCTGCTTTCTGTCTGTCTGTCTGTGTGGTGTGTTTCCTGTGAGGCAACAAATACGATTTTCAAGTTGAATGCAATTTTAATTAATAGAAAATCAAACAAAGTTCTGAGCCTTCCTTATGCTCATCCGCACACACACAAAATATATCTATATATATATATTGTACACATAAGTTGTGTGTGCACAAACTTGTAGTTGGCTACAAAAAGCATAAGCCAGAAGCAACACAAAGGCTTTAATCTCCAGTGAGTGCAGGGTAGATACAAGCCCGAACCCATAGATACCCATAGGTTCCCTTTTTAGGGTCTTCGAGTATGTTTGTGCACCTGTCTGATTTCATTTACAAATGAATATGTCGATCTCGCACTACCTGGCAGCCATTTTCCCCTGTTTCCCCGCCTGTTTATCTTCCATTTTGTCTGTGTCTTTCTCTATCTCTATCTCTGCCTCTGTGTGTATCTGTGTGACTTTTGCCAAAGAACTTCGAATCATAAAGGCATCCAATGGGCCAAGGCAGAACGTGTCTTGAGCGGAAGTGAATGAGCTTTTAAGTGTATTGAGTCTGAGGCTGAAACGCTGGAGGAAGTGAGATTCAATGCGATTAGCTACCACACATGTCTGCCGGATGAATGGCTTCATACATTTCATAAATGCAAATTACAAGGTGCTTAATTTTGGTACTTTCTTTCCCTCAGGCTGACTCACTAAATATTTCCAGAGCGCTCAGAGAAAATTATGGCTAAATTAAGCCTGAAAAAGGCTAATCCATAGCGGTTATAAAAGCATTAGAGGCGGGAATTAAATATGGAAATAATCTAGAAGCGTGTACAGATAATAATAAATTCTATAAGTTAAACAAAGTGCCAATAACATGCTTTAATAAGAGATTGCTGCCCAAATTAAGTTGGGGTCCAATCTATACAATCATGACTGCAAATATGACAGGTATCTGGGTGCTGAAGTAGAGATTTAAAATGCATCAATGTTTGTTACTAACCGGAGGCCTTACCATACACAGAAAAAGGGATATATCTCATAGATAAAGGACAATAATTGATATTTGGTACATCATTCACCCCAAAATGTTAACAATTTCCGACACTTTGAATACCTGTCTGCAATTTCTTGAAACTTATATGAAAAGTGCTGTCAAAGACTGGAGCATTCAATTCCGAAATTCAAGGCACACCATAGAAGTCCTCTCGTGTTGAACAAACTGTTGTTTTTTTTAGGAAATTTAAAGTCCAGTCCCCACTAGATGTGCGGTAACTAACCCCTGCTGCAGATACAGCTACATCTACAGCTGGTGGTACAACAAAGCAATCGCTCTATGCCATCAGCCGTGCAATCAAGAGCAAACCGCAGGGCGTGTGGCATACGGCGAATGTCGATTGGGTTGGGCCCCAGCCCCACGTACTCGTACTCGTACACCTGTGTGCGTGGTTTGGTGCGGTTGGTCAGCTGTTTGGCTGCTGGCCACCGACCACCGACCTGCCGCCACTGGCCTCTCCGCAGAGAGTGCAATCAGGCGGACTTTTGTTCCCATTACCATTAGCATTGGCATTTGGCATTGTTGCTCCCGTTGCTATACGAATATTTTCCGCTGCTTTTCATTGTGTGTAATTAAAATTGTGTATCGGGACAGGTTGCGCCCGCGGCGCTAATGATAAATTTATAAGCAGAAAATGAGATAGAAATGGCGGAAAATGGCGGGAAATGGGGGGAAAATGTGGGTGCCTGTAATTTAATTAAAATTCGAAATAGCATAACATTTTTGTTGATTTTGTCAATGGATATTCGTGTTATTTATGATTTACATAGTCGTATAATTAAGCATGACATGCATGTCTCCGAGTCTCTAATCACCAGGGTCTGTGTCTATATCCATAGCTGTTATGATAGTCGTAAGTTTTGGCCTGATATCATTATATTGTATGAGTAGGACTGTGCTTAACTATAGTCGCGTAAGTGCATGCAAAGTTGTGCTAAAAACTATTCAAGAATGGAGCCTGATTAGAGCGAGTCCCAGTCCTGCAAGAAAGCTAAACCTTGTTTGTATTTTCAAAACCCCCCACACACCGAACCAACCCCGAATTCGAAACCATCACGAATGCCCCTCCCCAATCGACAACACACCCGAAATCGAAATAGATACGGACGCACTCGTCGTCGCATTCCTGCAGCGAGGAAGACGAGGCCATGATGGTGCTGGAGGCCATGCAACAGGATGCGGCACAGACCACCAATGACGAGACAGAAGACACTGATGACATTTATGATGATGAGGCAGCCGAGGCTGAGGATATGTTTGATGCAGACGCACCTTTGATGTCGCCAACCGGCAGCCACAACAGCACCAATAACAATACGTGCAACAACAACGCCATCAACAATAACAACAACAGCAACGGAAGGCAGTGCCACACAGTGCCGGCAGTGGCAGGAACACAGGCGGGCAATATTAATTTCGATAATTGCAATGCGAATGTCTACAGTGGTCAACAGCAGCAGCAGCAGCAGCTAGGCCCAATTACCACAGCAAACCAAACGTTAAATTGTCCCACACAGAACGCAAATACAAACACCAATATAAATACGAATGTCAAGTCCAGTAGCAATACCAATCCCACTACCAATACCAGTACCATTGCGAATGCTCCAACTAGCGGTCCCCCGTCCAACGTAGCTGCCCCAAGCACCTCGACAACAACAACAGCAGCGGCAGCAACACCAGCAGCAGCAGCATCATCATCGGCAACAACAACTCTAACGAACTTGCACTCGAATTTACAACAAAATCAAAACATTTCCTCCAGCTTAGAGATAATCCTATCGCCAATTATCCAAAGTAGTCGACGGTAAGTTTTTATTTTCAGTTTGTTTTTCGGTTTCGATTGTACTCCTCGCCGCTTGATATGTGGGGCAACAATGCTACCCGTTCTACCTGTTTCTGTTTTGTGTTCTGTTTCCGTTTCTTTTTGTAGCTAACATGACAAGTTACTCAGATACTTATTTGACCTGCATGCCACAAAGACAAACAATGAGAGTGACTATCCCTTAGCCCCCTTTTAGCTGGAAATTGCATTCCATTTAGACCCTTACCCCAAGTTGCAGTTGGCTTAAATCGAACCTATGTATAAAGGACATTGTGTTAAAGTGTTTTGCTAGAGCTGAACCTAGGGAATGTTGAAGAAGAGATTGCCTATTATTTCAATTTCCTTTTCATGCATTCATCCCCTCCTGTGCATCGCCTTTTTTCAGACTGAAATATATGAGATGATCCTTTCGTATGCATAACCCTTATTCTGTTCGTCTTGAAAGAATCCCCAGATGATTCGTGAAATGTGAACTCCCTGTGAGATGGCTTATTATTTAATTCCATTTAACTTTAACATCCCTTCTTACGCATAATCTTTATTGAATATCCGTTCAAATTTAAAACAAAAATCCCCAGCAAAGACACAGAAGACATCGCCTTTAAGTGTGCAAAAACAAAAACGGAACGAAAACATTATAAATTATGTATTAATGTGCCCGTTAGGCCTGCGGAGCTCTGGAATCGGAGTCTAGAGGAGTCCCGGTCTCTGTGGGATCTCCCCAAACAGTTTTTGGCCTTTTGCCCTCCCTCGCCGCCTCCCTTCTCGCATTGTCAGCTGCCAATTTTCAATTGCCTCCAGGCAAAGCCCCTCCCCCGAGTGCGCCTGAGGGGCTGTGGGGTGGCAGGCGACAACGATAACAATCGTGGGAGGGCGAACAACAATGGGAAAGCCTCTCGCAGGCAAACATTCATTTTCATTTCAATTTCACTCGGTTCTTGCTTTCATTTTGGATTTACATTTGATTTGACTGCGATGCGTACGCCGTTGTTTGCCTCCATCTTGGCGGAGTCTGCCTCCGTTTTTGCATCGACTGCCTCGACGTTTTCACGCTTCGAATGGCAGTGGGAACGCACAAATATTTATGTAAGCTGGAGGAGACAGGGCGAATGCGAATGGTACTAGGAAATTCGACAGCCTATTTACAAATGAATAGGTTAATGTCATTGGAGTGGATGGTGGGCGGTGGGTGGTGGGCGGCGGGCGGTAGGCAGATTCTGCCACGTTGTTTACGAGCCAAACTTGGGGCAAATTGACTTTAAACATGTCAATTTAAATGTGGCCTCGACCCTTGGATACCATTTCATCCCCCAAAAGAAGCATTCCGCTGTGTGCGTGTGTCTGTGCGCCTCATTAAGGCACTCCCCCGAAAAGTAGGCTATACATTGTCGTTCAGTCAGAAATATTACCCATACGCCGCATTGCACGCAGCCAGTGAAGCAACAAAATGACAATTTCACAACAAATTAAATGCCCAGCCAGGCGAGCAGACAAACCAACATTCATATGTTCGGGGAGTACACCCGGACATTCCTTTGAAATGGGTATTGCAAGTAAATGACCTTCAAACTCGATAAGCGAGAAACAAAACAAGCGAAAGTGCTGAAAATATACATAATTTTCAGGGCACCACCAAGACAAAGACCTCCCCCCATAGACACATCCCCATGAATGTATATATGAAAATATGATAGGACACAAAACAAACACACACACGCTCTGCCACAGACATTAAAATATACGATCCCAGGCTAGAGCGAGCCGGGAAAATGATATTTCTGCCGGCTCGATGGCCAGGACCATGTCTCTGTGCCTCCATCCCTCCATAAATACAAATTTCAACAAAACAACAGGCCACAAAACAAAAATAACCCAGCCAAAAAGAAAAATACAACAACAAATATAAGCGATGAAAGCAAAAAAAAAAGGCGCAATGGTGTCGCAACAACAAGCCAGCGCCAGAAAAGGCAAACATTTCATATCATAGAAATACTTTGGAGCCAAATAAACAAAAGTTGTGGCGGCGACTGGAGGGAAAATATTCCAACAGTTGAAAGGGAATGTTGTTTCGGTTAGGGGTCGTATGTGAAAACTTAGATACACTTTCCAGAAAATGCTTAGAATAGGAAGCAAGGAATGAAGGTCCCAGCATTACATACATATCGATCCCTAAACAAGGCACTCAAATGAAGCGTTCTTCTGCCTACCATATGATCAATGTGATCATTCTTCTTGAGTACTCTCAGTATTCATGTCTCACCAGAAACCACTCCAACTCGCTCTTGAGAAGAGTATGAGACCCCCACAAAAGGTCGGCGCATTCGACCTTGCTACAACAACGACAATTCTTATTTCCCTGTGGCCCCCCCTAGCCTGTCCTAGCGAATCGACCCCCTAGATCCACAGCGATTCGACCATTTTGTGCCCCATCGCGACTTGTAGCTAGGCCACACGCAGCCGGAGAAAAGGGGCAACCAACAAAAGGACGCAGCACAAAACTTTACGCATTTTTGTCACAGCAACAGCAACAACAACAACAGTACAAAATAGAGAAAACCGAGAGAAAGGAAAGAAAAGTGCTGAAAATGTGGAAAGTGCCAGTGGCAATCGTAAATTTGACGCACATTTCAGCTCCGTGGGCGGAGGAGATAAGCTTATGAATGGCTATATAAAAACTCAACATCGGTGGGGCACACTCCGTCGAGCATTATGTGTGGAGTGACTTTTTGTTCGCTGTTTATTCGGTTTTTCTTTTGGTTTATGATTAAATTAAGTAATTATTTGTGTTGTGGCGCCGACTAAAATGATAAAAAAAAAAGTATTCAATTTGGAGGACAGCCAAGACGTAAAAACTGGATTCAGTATGGCCGTAAAGGCGGCCTGCTTTTAATTTATAGCACCACAATTGTGACACACATAACGTATACGCACTGTAGAGCCCACTAACCATCCTGACTCACAAAACCAACCATGTACTCATACTTACACTCACTTGCATAACCAAATACACTCACACAGTCACTCGTGCACTCGTGCAAAACTTACATACATATATGTGAAAATCGAATCAACAAGAAAACTTTTCCTAACATGTGCAAATATTTTCTCTTCCTTCTCTTCCGTTTCCGTTTCTCTTTTTCAACATTTTGTTTCATGCAACCGCAAACGTGCAACTGCAACTGAAACTGCAACCACCTCAAAAAACAGAGCGCAATTGTAAGCGAAATGAGCACAGAATTGTGAGAATTAGCTAAATTTAATTTGCAATAGCCAAAGCCCGCCACCGCCCACAACAACGTTCCTGCCCTGGCAGTAGGACCCGGTGGCAGCTCCTCGAATCCGCCACCCACGGCCTTCTGCAAACTTTGGTTGCAGCAACAGGAAAAGCAGCAACAGCAGCAGCAGCAACAACTCTATGAGCAGGAGCAGCAGGCATGGCTCTAGGAAAGAATAAACTACATCCACAACACGCACAACATGTAAGTGGAAAGTTAAATGGAAACTACATGCGGGCTCTTGCACAAAAGTGTGCTACGGAGAAGCAGGAGCAGCACCAAACAGGAGGCAGCAGCAGCCAACAACCAGCAGGCAACAATAAACAACATTTAAAAGCCGCCGGGGCCAAAGTTGGGGCCAAAAGTTGGGCAGAGACTCTTGTCGTTTGCAAATTAAGTGCACATTATGCCAACATGTAAATAGATAATGTAGTTCTATATATATATATGTAACTCTATGTGTGTATGTGTACATAAGTTTTGAAAATTTACAACAAATAAAAGAAAGAATAAAAAAGTTAATCAGCTAAGCCAGGAAACACTCTAAAAACCCAAAAGGAACAGGAAATATGCAATGGAAAATAAAGAGAAACGAAAAACAAAGTTAGCTTAAGATGCGAATAATCAAAAAGCCAAAAAAGCAAATGTATCTCACAGATAAACAACAGCAAAAGGGGGGCGGGGGGCTGGTCTGGCATAAAAGCAAAAATAAATTGTGCGTTAATGATAAGCGGGGCACATTTCAGCGGCATAAAATTTATTAAAATATGCGCACGAGCCAGACAACAGGCGATGGAACGACGGCCTAAGGAATCTTTGGGGCCAGCCCCCCCCAACATGTATTTATGCTTGCCAGGCGCACACACACACACAACACACACACAAAGATAAGCAGGGAGAGAGATAGAGAGGGAGATACATGGAAAGCGACTTTGCCCGGAAATCGTTAGCGATAAATATAAAATTTTATTGTTCTCCTTGTATCTGTATCTGTGTGTGCGTGGGAGTTTGTGTGTATGCGTGTGTGGGTGTGTGCTCCTGCAAGTAAATTAAATATACGTTTTTATTAACTACTAAGAACCAATTTGATACGCATTTAAATAATGCCTCTTACACAAGAGCCCACACACACACACACACACCCACACACCGACACACAGAAAAAAATTATGTAAAATTTAATTTTACTGCATTTGAAGAGGAGTGTAGGAGGAGTAGCAGCAGAAGCAAAAGCCAAATAAATGTAATAGCCTATGTATGTAATTTAAATAATAATAAAATATTCGAATACTATGTATGCAACACGAAAAAGATACTTTAGTTGTAGATCTACCTACTCGTATGTGTACTGTATGGTTATGTGGCTATTGCCCCCGAAAACTACTTACTTACTTATGCCAACAACGTCCAATAATTTCAATAATATTTGTGTAAGCGTAACGCCGGAAGGATGGAAGGGTGGAAGGGAGAACTTTTGACCATATATGTATTTATATACACTTTAAGCCCAATTTAGTTTAGTTTAATCATTTGGCAGCTAATTTAAGTGCTCAACCTTTCTGTGAATGTGAATGTGAATGGAAATGTCTGCTCTGTCTATCTGTCCGTCCGTCATGCACTCTCCGTGTAAATATCAAACAAACTGAATGACCCTTTACTGTCCCCACTTGAACTCTGCTGTCCTGTCCTGTCGTGTCCCTCAAACAGAACACACAAATTAAATGAAATATAATAAAACTACAGATTATGATCGGATTAGAGTTACGAATATGGAATGCATATGAAAAATATTATCGATTAAAAAACCTTATACACAAAAATCTATTTCATATTGGTGTAAACGTAAACAAATAAATACGATTAAATGTCTCTAACAAGATTTTACCATGAGTGTGTCACTTTTTTATATATATACATATATATATCTAATATATACAATACAAATAAAGAAATAAACTGCAAGCGACATTTTATACAAAAAAATTCACAAAGCAAATCACATTTTATTTCAAATGGGGGGCAAGCGGCAAGTGGAAGGCGTCCAGGGGCTATGCCACCCTCAGGGCCACTTCAACTGTAACGAAAACGGTAAAAAAGCGTAACAAAAGCCAACTCTGATAAGCAAGTGGCCGGCCAGAGAATAAGACAAGTCGAAAAAGCCCGCCAAAGCCCAGCGATAAGAAACCAAGATGCGAGAAGACAAAGGCGACAGCACAACTTTCAAGTCGAAAGTCCCGGGTCCCGGGTCCCCAATCCCGTGTCCCGTGGACAACAATGCACGGGCCAGGAGAAATTAGCAAACTTACGCAGCACAAAGGAATCCTCCTCACGAATTATGAATGGCTCTGCTCAAGAGGCCCCAAGATAGTCAAAGGAACTGACACGATAATGCCAGCGCACAATCACAATCACAATCGCAAGAGGGCTAAAAGCAATTTCAAGCAGTTGGGGCTCATCTCTAACTATAAGTTAGAGCTCAAGTTGGTTCCTACGAAACGTGTGCTAAGTGCCCGGGGAAAGGGAGTTCATCTAACTCGTTTCAAATAAGTACGCTATGGGCGTAAAGTGTGAGGCTATGAATTTTTGTAGAAATATTCAAGAGCGGAATAAGGATTTCTTAAATTCATAAGGCGACACTTTTCACAGCGGCACTGGAAAACCCCATTTATGCAGAGGTTCTTTTTAGAGAAGAAGAACATTTCAAGCCACACAAAGCCAGCTCCGTTAGCTTTCCGATATATTACGCGTTTTCCTTAGATTTGGTTAAGCTTTCATATGAGCGCTTTTCGCAGAGTCCCTGGACAAACCGATCAATAGCAATCGATAACTATCAATTGTCTTGGTCTTTTTTAACATATGTTGATTTCAAGAACTTCAACGTTAGCGGCAATATTGCTGTTAGATTCCTTAAATAAATAATCTGTTTCTTAAATGCAATAAATTTAAAAAAAAATTTTCTATCAACTATCGTTTACTGTCTAAATAATAATCGACAACTCGTTCAGACGATGCCCATCGATAAGGCATTTTAGCATATGTTGATTTCAAGAATTTCAACGACAGATGAAATATTGCTTTTGGATTCCTTAAATAAATATTCTGGCTCATGAATGCAAGTAATGTGTACAAATTTGTTCAATCAACTATCGATACCTGTTTGAATGATGAGCGATAGCTCGTTCCATGAATACAGCATTTAAATATGATTTCGAAAAGCTCGTGATGAATATTAATATTACTAGTAAAACTCAGATCAACGAAAATGTTCAGCAGCTAAATCAGCGTATGGAAATGATAAGTAGAAAGTAAGTAGAAACCTGTCTTTTGGTCGACCTGCTGCTATTGGTTTATCCAAAAGATATATATCGATTATTACTGGAAAATCAATCGATGTCTATATTTATGTTATTTACTTCATTGGGATGTCATTGCCTCGAGTCTGAGAGAGTACGAAAATTCCAGTTCCTGAACGATCTGATCATCATTATAATTGCAACTTAAAGTAGAGAAGTAGAAGCGTACATCTTGCAAAATTTATTGTAGCTTATCGCGTCTAATCCCACTGTACCAGAGTCGGACTACAGTTTTGTTTACATTTCCTATTATTCCGAGGAAATTTTGTGAAATCCGAGCAGGCTTTGATGGAAACATCTGTGAGCTTCCACAGAACTTTCAGTACTCAGCCAGACGTTGAGTATATTTTTGTAAGAAATATTAAATTCGATTATATTGAGCACACAAAGAGCGATAAATTATCCAGGCATGTCGATTCCCAAGAGCAGCGGCTTCAGCAATAAGGTGATCACAGTGGTAGCCACTAATGGTTATGGAGCAGACACAATGAGCGAGATCAGCTATACGGACACAAAAGTGGTTGGGAACGGCAGCTTCGGGGTGGTCTTCCAGGCCAAGATAGTGCCCAGCAACGAGCAGGTGGCCATCAAGAAAGTGCTGCAGGATCGCCGCTTCAAGAATCGAGAGCTCCAGATCATGCGTAAGCTTCGCCACGACAATATCGTGAGCCTCAAGTACTTCTTCTACTCGAGCGGCGAGAAGCGCGACGAGGTGTACCTCAATCTGGTGATGGAGTTCATACCGGACACCCTCTACAAGGTGGAGCGCCAGTACGCCAGGGCCAAGCAGACGCTGCCCGTGAACTACGTGCGGCTCTACATGTACCAGCTGCTCCGGGGCATGGCCTACCTGCACAGCATCGGCTTCTGTCACCGGGACATCAAGCCGCAGAACATGCTGCTGGACACGGAGACGGGCATCCTGAAGCTCTGCGACTTCGGCAGCGCCAAGCAGCTGGTGTCTGGAGAGCCGAACGTTTCGTATATCTGCTCGCGCTACTACCGCGCACCGGAGCTGATCTTCGGGGCCACCGACTACACGACCAAGATCGACGTCTGGAGTGCTGGCTGTGTCCTGGCTGAGCTGCTGCTCGGACAGCTGATCTTTCCGGGCGACTCGGGCGTCGACCAGATCGTGGAGATCGTCAAGGTGATGGGCACCCCGACCACGGAGCAGCTGCACGACATGAATCCCCACTACAAGCAGTTCAAGCTGCCGCAGCTGAAGCCCCACCCCTGGTCGAAGGTCTTCCGCATTCGCACCCCCGCCGAGGCCATCGATTTGGTGTCGAAGCTGCTGATTTACACGCCCAATGCCCGTGCCAGCCCGTTGATGGGCTGTGCCCATCCTTTCTTCGACGAACTGCGCCAGGATCCGTACCAGCTGCTGCCAAATGGCCGCAGCCTGCCGCCGCTATTCAATTTCACCGACTACGAGCGCACCATCGAGCCGAGTCTCAATCCTCTGTTGATCCCCCGATCGGGGAGTAGCCCGCCGCCCGTCCGCGACAACACGCATTATCGCCATCGTCACACGGCTGGGCAAGAGGCTGGGCCGAAGACCGGGCCAATATGCAAGCCTCCCAAGCGATTGTCTTCCAAGCTGCCCCAGCCGGCTTTGAAGGTGGTCGGTACAGCTCCAGCATTGATCCGGCAGGACATGGGAAACGGCGATCACGCGGATGCAGCAGAACAGCAGGACGACTCGGTGGATACCGAAACACTCGTCGCATTTGATGGTACCATTGCCTATGAGGGCAATGACAGCGATCCAAACGAGGACGGGGTGGACTACGAAGATGATGGGGGCCAGTCCAATACCGCCGCAAGCAACACCTTTAAGGAAACCAAGGAGAATGATTCGGATGAGTCGGATGAATCGGATGAAGACACCCTCGAGGAGCAATCTGCCGAGAGCGATGATGATTAGGACATGAAAGAAAAAAAAACGAATGATAATCTATACTAATTTCAAGCTAAAGCTTGAACTAAAATTATAATTAATCGCAACAATAAAATTTATATGTATCTTCTGGGGTAATAAATCGCTCAAATATGGGCCTGGTCTTTGCATGATCGTCATTCCGTCCATTAAGGAATCTCTACAGTTCTCCTGGCATGCCATTTACCGAATCCGAGCGAAGGGCCTAAAAATAGACTTAATTATTTAGAGGCCAACACAATGCTAGGGTGGCGCGGCGCCTTTTGGTCGTTCTGGCCCGTCCATGTCGGGCTCTATAAATATAAATTTTCGCGTTTTATGGCCAAGCAAATACAAATACAACAATAAAGGCTGTCTTGAGTAACCGAAGCGTGGCATACTCTATTCAATTCCATAATCAATATCGTTGTACAACTTCTTGACTTTTTGTTGGGTAATCTTTGGGAAGAAATGGTTTTGCTCCGAGTCCAATGTAGTAGTCCAGCAGTCATTCCTTTTAGCTCACGTGGGGTTTATCTGTAATTTTTAGCACAGTATTAGTCATAATCCAAGAAAAATATATAAACAGGGCTGATCCGTCATCGTATACTTCTCTACGTCTATTCCAAAATCAAAACACCCTCTGGAAAGGCCATAACCGGAGACCGGCACGCACACATGTCCTGACTGGAGGCGAGTCACATTTCCTGCCACGTCCTTTGGTGTCCTGCTCCAGGCCGCTCTTTCTCTTTTTCTCCTTCTATGTATGTGTGTGTTTGTGTGTGTGTTTGTTAATGTGGTAAAATGAATTTTCAGTTTCATTAGTTAAATTGAATAATGGAAAACTTTGTTCGCCACATTTGACTCATTGTTGTTGTTGTTTCTGGCTGTTTCTGTTGGCCTTGTCTGGCCCGGCAGCGAAAGTTACACTTCCGTTTGGCCCTACAACCACACGCACACACACACACACACGCACACAAACACAGGCATACAGGCCACACAGAACATGGAGTAGGAGCCAGGCAATAAAGCAAATTTATGCAAACGATAAATTTCGTGAGAGGGCAAATGTTTGTTTCCCGCCAGTTGGTGGCCTCCGTGTCCATTGTTGTTTCTGCTTCTCCTGCTTCTGTACTGTTGGCATAGCAGACCCCGAAACAAGCCCCGGAACTAGTGCAGTTAGTGGCCATAAGTAGCTGTTACCAATTGCTGCCTGCCCGCTCGCTGGCCGAGTGCTGGAGTGCCGAAATGATGAAGAACCCATTCAAATGCTCTTGACTCTTAGATAAGCCAGTATGCGCTGGAAATCGTAATGGAAATGTGCATATGAAATATTGTCGGATTAAATATTTTGTGGAATGACTTTTTTAATGATAATTTTCATATTAGCTTTGAAATTAAAATGTTTGAAATTAAATTTCGTAGCTAATTTATAGCAGTCGAAATATAAATGAAATATGTTTGCAATAGACGGTGGGAAATTGGATTTAAATTGCTATTTCATGGAATAAAATAGCAATCCAAATTCTACTATTTAGTGTCCCAAGTGCTCTTGGTTTTTGGTCTAAAGTCTGGCGTTCGAAAGCAAACTCTTGAAAAGAAAGCACCTTATAGTTGTTGTGTTTGATACCTGAATGGTTTACTTAATTCTTATCTAAAGGATGCTGATTTCCTTCTGCTGCAGGAATATGCAAAGTTTAAACTGTACTTTCATTAAGGGGAAAAGTCAGGCACACAGACGCACGAACCCTCTGCCGCTGCTCTCTCGTGCACCCGCACGAGTGGAAAATCTTTTGCAACAACGATTACTTGGCAACACTAACAGGCAACCACAGGAGTACGGGCGGACGGGCAGGATGGGGCAGACACTCCGGCAGAACACTCCGCTCCGGCGGCACGGCTCAGTAATAAACACGCCGATGACTATTTACAAAGTGTTAGCTGCGGGACTGCGGGACTGCGGGTTGTGTGCTCTCCTGTTTGCTGTGTGCGGGTGTTCTTTCGGGTGTCTGCAGCCAGCAGCAAACCTTTGACTCGAGTGAGATTACGATATGCTACATAATAGAAACCCATGCAGCCATGAACAGTGCGAGTCGAGTCGAGTCGAGGAGGTGTGGCAGAGGTGTCTGGAGCAGAGGACTCCCATTCGCAGCAATGAAACATTTTTCGGCAACAGCAGCCAGGGGGCACATGGCATCGTAACTTGCAGGCCCTAGCCCAAGCTCAAGCCCAAGGTGAATGTGGTTAAAGTGTTTTCGGTTAAAGCAGTCGTGGGCCAAAGCATTTGCATAAACAGTAGAAACCTTCGCACCAAAACGCCAAGCACAGAAGCCAACAAACAAACACTCACACATACAGACAGACAGATAGACAGAGAGACAGGCCCAGAGATACAGATAGAGATACAAATACAGATAAAAGTGTCAGGGCGGAGGCAGGGGCGCTTCCTGTTGATATTGCAACTGCCGTTTGTCGTGGAGTGGCACCGGAATTATTTTATTTCCGTTTCCGGGCACGCACACTTGTAGCTACCTGAAGTTGTAACGCTGTTGAAAATGCCCCTGCGGTTGCTACCTTTCAGCACCCTGATAAATTCTCACTAAATGCACTTTTAATGGGCTTCGGCTCGGCACCAGGCACCAGACCCCGGCACCGGTACCGACACTCTCCGAAAACTAACCCGAAATGGAAACCAAATCCCATCGGAATGTGTGGGGCCAGAGATGCACAATATTCGCCTAGAAATTTGTTTGTGGCACTATAATTGGATATCGGATTGCAGTTCTACATAATAATTTGTAGGCTTATGCATTTTCCATTGCCTGCAATCATGTTTTGCCAATTGTTATCTAATTTCAAGGCTACATTAAGTGTAGTCCATGATTATTTCGTATTGAAATTGCAAGAGGATTCGTTTGGAAATAATTGAAATGTTGTTGAATTTCGGTCTCCCTTAGATGGAAATGAGGAGGCTCCAGAATAATGTTTAATGTTTCCCTTTTTTGTAAAAACATAAAAATATATTCTTTTCCCATTTTCAAGCTATATAAAATTTCGCATCTCTAATGGGGAGTGCCTGGTACGTGCACATCTCCACGCTGTATTTGAAATTGTATATGTTGTTATTTTTTAGACCATTGGCGGAGGGAAGTGCAGGAAGGACTGGTGCGAGACTGGTGGGGTCTGGGCCGACTCTGGGGGGGGGTAGAGCTGTGCGAGTGGGGCCACTGGCCCTGCGGTTTGGGCCGAATATAGCAGTTGAGTTAGTTATGCGCTGCTTGCGGTTTCGCTTTGACTATTTTTGCGTGCAGAAATGCCCACCCCGAGGGGCAGGCAGGCAGGCCGGCAAATTCCAGACACAATAATTAGGAAATTGTACGCTTTAATGCAGTTTCAACTGAATAAATTTTATGTTTAAAAGTAGAAGACTAAGCCGAAAATGTGACAACATAAAGGGCGTCCCTCTCACCCGTGCCCCCTTTCCCCCTTGCCACATACTGGCCATTTATGGACTTGAACTTTTTGCCACTAGCTGCACAAGTTGTGGCACAAAATTGAAGTTTTAATTGGATTTGCGATTCAATTAACAGATTTGTCAGCATGTAAACAGTTTTATGATGACCCAACAGCGACAGAGAATCGTGGAGAAACCGTGTCCAGAACAGATTTGGTGTGCTGCTCCTTTTGCAATTGCGTTTCCCACCTTTTGCTCACTTTGTGGAATGAAATTTATTGAAATTGATTTGCCATTTTAATGGAATTACTGTGGCAAGGCGGCCAGCGGCCAGTGGCCAGTGGCCAATAGGGAAAGGTAGGAGAAGCAGCTATCGAGCTATCGAGCTATCGAGCCATGGGAGTGGCAGTGGAAAGCATTCCCAGCTCGGCGTTTAATTGAAATCTTTTAATTAGTTTGATTTTCCAATCAAGTGGCATAGAAGACAAACAGGAGAAGCCGCTGGGAGAGAGAGAGAGCTAAGGAGTTGAGGGATGTGGCATGCCCCAAAACCAGTTCGTTGCGGTCAGGGGAGGCCCCCGAGCCGCATTGTCTAGCATTTAAGGAAAGCCAATTAGTTGCAATGCCTTGAAGTATGCTTTTGGGGCTGCGTGGTCTGAGTTCGAGTTCGATATCCATTATGTTGTTCACGTCGATTGTCTGTCGATTACAAATTCTCTGGCTCCACCTCCCTTAAGTGGGCTATGCAAAAGCATTCCCCATGCCACCGGGTAGTCCCCCATTTTCCCCATTTCCCCCCCCCCCCCTTAGCCAGCCCGCATTCGTTGTTCTCATCGTTGCGCAACATAATCATTATCCTTGGCTTAACTCGAGTGGCGGCAGGAGCCGGCAGAGTGGGTCTGTGCCAGGCTCTGGCAAAAGGATTTCGCCTATTGATTCCACAAAGTGAAAGCCAAATCCACATGATATCAATTTGCTTTCAACGTTACGCCGTTGGCGTAAATAACCGAAACAGACGCCCCGCCATTCAGGGGGGTTGCGGTAGTGGGGGGCGCACGCAGGACCCTGGAGCTGTCTCGGGAAAGCCATCTAAAGCGACTCCTAGCGCTTGACAGACAGCAGCTGGAGGCGAGCTTCGGCTTCGAATAAAAGCCACTGGTTCAATGGCAGCCAATGAAAGGAATCAGCTCACCAGAGAAGATAATGATGGAGGGATATACTACTCCAAGCCCCAACCAATTAACTAATTAGAATTCCAACTAAAAGTACTCCCCGTTAAGATGAGATCTCAGATCTATCTTCGCCCTCCCATCCACTTATAACTAGCCATAACTTACATTAGCTCTGCGCAGGCATACCCAATTATGGTGCCTGCCACTCCTTAATTTCTTGCCACAATCCGTAACTTTTTAAACCAGAACTCTGTGGCGTCGGTGGGGCAAAAAACGCAACAAACCCCGGGAACAAATCCATTATAAGCTTATGCCAAAAGCGTAATGTAAACTTTTCACACGAATTGCGGGTCTCACTCTCGCCCCAGCCCCAGCCTCAGACAACGCCGAGCAATTATTTTAAATGCGCCGTCAACGCCGCCGCCAAACACAAACTAACCAGACAAACAGGCGGAGAGCCGGCAGGATCTGAGGAGCAGTCTGCC